CCATTTCCTTGCTTCCTGTCATTTGTCACCTAAGAAGAGAGATCGACACCCTCCTCATTGCAACCTCCTTTCAGACAGTTGTATAGCATGATAAGGTCTCCCTCAGCCTCCTCTTTCCCATACTAAACCACCTCTGTTCCCTCAGCCGCTCCTCATATGTCCTGTTTTCTAGTCCCTTCACCAGCTATGTTGCTCTTCTCTGTACACACTCAAGCAATTCAATGCCCTTGTAGTGAGAGGTCCAAAACTGAATGCAGTACTTGAGGTGAGGTCTCACTGGTGCCACGTATAAAGGGACAACCACTTCCCTAGTCACATAAAATTTCCAAAGAAAATCTTGGACAGTGGGTAGGTATAGATGAAAGGTAACTGCTTTCAAAATACAATTTATTAATTTTCCATCATTTCAGCACTCCTGGGCCCCTTTGCCCAAACACTGTGGGACCACTCTATGCTGTCAGAGGTGTCCTGCCTATCCAGGCAGAGTGTGAATTCAGAACATTTCCAATCTTTCTGAAAGTTAGAATATTTAAGACATCTGAAATATATTGCAGTTTCATCTGATGCAACATTTTGCATGCAGGTCAGTTAATAAAATCTCCAAAGGAGCCCTGTTTTTATTCCTTTCATTTTACAAATATACTTTTTAAGTTATGCCTTTGATCAATCCATCAAGAAATTCTTGAGTTTGGGGATAAACATGATCAAATCTGTGAAACTGACTCAAAATCATAACAAAAAATGGTGTGATCATGACTTCCCTCCCAGCTCATTAGAAAAACTGAATTAGAAAGTCCATATACAGAAGAGAGTTGTTCCAGGACTTGTCTCCTGCCTGTGAGTGATGAATATGTAAAGTCAGCTGAAAAACGTTTTTTTCTTGGCAGGTGAAAACAGAGATACCAGGACCAAATTCATCTCCGGTGACAAATCATTAGGCTCAATAGAATTATACTAGAACAGCTTTTAACATTGTTTCAAAAACAAAATGTAACTGAAACCTCTCTGTTCTTCAGTGAATAAATATTGAACAGGTATTTCTGTCTTCATTTACCTAGATTGCTTTAAAGGAAGTAATTTGCAAAGCTATGAGACACTTTCTGTTTATTCAAACAAACAAGGCTCTTATCCTCACACACCTGTGTCTTCTAACCTAGAAGATTAATCAGCTATGTTCTCCTAAAGAGAAAGTAGTACGTTTTTAACTAATTATTCCAAACGCTTTAGCAAAGTGTTTCTGAATAAGAGAGAAAAACACTGTCTCATTGATTATGGTAATCAACAGTAGCAACATTTACTGTCACATGCTGTAGCAAGCCCTTGGAGTACTTCTACTCTGCAGGACACAGGACTGGGGATCAGGACATGGGCTTTATTTATTTAATTAGTTAGTTAGTTCTTTGAAAGAACTCCTCTCACATCCTAATCGGATTGAACTGTCTGCTTTAGCTGTTATGAAGCTTAACTAGTAAGAACCTTACTTTGACTCTTTGACAGCCCAGTCACCTGTGAGCAAACAAAATGTTAAAAATAAGGTTCAGGTGGGGAGTGGCATGCTTGCTACTGTTCTAAAATTATAAATTCTTGACTGTTAATGTGTTTCTGTGTTATGCAGGTTCCCACTGGCTCAGCATAGCTTTCTTATGAGACATAAGGGAACCAGAAATTCTAATAATAGGCATCGCAAGTGGAGACACAGCATTGTAAACAGCCCAAACTCCATTACTCCTAAGAGCACCCAGGGCAGAAGTTCTTTCATCTGCATCAGAAAAAAAAAAAAATCCTCACTAGTGCTTTTCTCTTGTGGTAGCAATAACATGGGATTTTCTCTTCTTCTTTCTTGGAAGCAAACAATTCAATAGAGCAAAGAAACTGATAATGTCTACAAGAGTGTCACTCTGCATCAGCCATCCTTCACCATCTAGACACTTTTAATGCATTAAGAATTCTACAGTTGACATCAATTTACAGTGGGGACTTAGTAAAGAAAAACTATATCATTTTACAAATCCTACTCTCAGTAGTTCACCTTCACTTTCTGAGGAATTCTTGGCAATAGACACACAAAGTTGTTTTTTTTGTTGTTTTTTTTTTTTGGGGGGGGGGGGCAAGAAGGGAGGGACACATGAAACACAACCACATGTAATACAGTTGAGACCCTCATCTATTTTTATCTGTTATATAAAAGTAAATGTAACTAATATAAAGTCCTCCTAGATATACACATGGATGCAATTCATGGGAAAAATCACAAGTAATTATTTAGTATTTGTTTAGAAAGGGCTCTTCTCTGATGGTAATAAGTATAATCAGGCAGGGAAGGTGCAGGACTGAGGAGTGGCTGAGAAGTCCATTTCCCAGCCTGAGGTCCATAGATGCAGCTGTGCAACTGTTCATACCAATATAGTTTCATATCATGTCTGTGGAGCACAATGAGAATGGTCTAATGCACAATTCTGCACTGACTTTTCTCAGCAGCATTATGTACATATATACCTTACTAAAATGGTTACTTTGATAAAACTTACCAAACTTCAAAACCACAGGCAATCTAAAAACAGAAACATTACAATTTCCTGTGTTTATGGTCTTGTTGGGCTACAATGGTTTGAAACAAATTGAAAGATGAAGAAGGGGATAAAATTTAACAGATATTTGTCTATGTTTGCACTAATATATTTATTATGGTCAATTTTCTTATTGCCACCTCACTAGATTAATTTATTTCTTTGTTAAGTTACAGATGCATTTTCCTCAAATTTGACAATGCCGGTCAAAATTGTGTTATTAATTATACGCAGCAGCTCCATTGCTCTTCTGGGAAAGTGGGGAAGGTAGGCTTATTTTCCTACTCAACTTCTAAAAATATTGAGCATTTTTAATGTTCATGTAATTATAGGCAATAAAAGGGGGCTTCTTAAAAATAAAAAAGAGAAATGAAATTTGAACCTGTTCCCAATTGTGTTAGTTGAAGAATATATGATTTTATTAGCAACTGCATCAGGCCCAGAGAGTCAATTTTGATCCTTTCCAGTTCAGTCTGGAATTAGAAACAGCATTTTAAAACTTTTTTTTTTTTCTATTTTTTTTTCCCCTGACTGCTCTCATTCAGCTGAACAATTCCCTTCAGCAGTCAGAAGAACCAGTGTGAGGTCATACCATCCACCAACTTCCTGGAGCTGAGATATAGCAAGATGAATTTAAGCTGCATGATGTTATTCTGTTCTGTTTCTTCTATCTTTCAGGGACAGATCCCAGCTCAGAAGGACACTTTAATTCAATTTGGATTCTATACCAGGAATCTTATATATAGCCCTTCCAGCAGTGTTCCTTTATGAAAAAAGCCTCTGCCTCAATGGTAACTGGTTGCCATGCAGAAATGAAGTTATTAAGACAACTTCATATTTTTTCAATTCTTCTTATTATTATTTTTGTATATGTCTTAGTTACTAATGCTGTAGTCAGGAAGTAAGGGAGAAAGAAGCAAATGATTCAATTTCTTCATCTGGATATGTATTGCCCTTTTCAGTCTTTTGAAAGAGAAAAACAAACAAACAAACAAACAAACAAACAAAACAAGATATTTATCAGCAATTTTTTCCTGAGTTCTGCAAAGTCTGCAATTTGAATAAGATATTGTCTTTCCTGCACAACACTAGAATGTAGAATTTACTTCTAAGCAACTCTTCTTATGATGTAAGTATTTTAACGTCTTTTTATACCTCTTACTAATCCTTGATTCATATGGCACTACTGTACTCCTTACTGCCCCCATCAGAACCCCATCAAACACTGCCCATGATTTCCCCTTCATAAAACACAAAGCTACACCACTAGTTAAACATAAAGATCTCTTAAGCTCTACCTAATTAGTACTAAGACTACTAGCATCATCAATATACTCCTCTTGTTTGTTTATAGGGTGACACTCTGGAGAAGTCCAGCAGATGAGAAGCTCTAGAGAATCTCTCCTAGTCACAGAGGTGGTCGTTTTATACACAATTATAATGAACCATAACTGAGTGAATAATAGATCTGGGAAAAACACAGTTTCAATATATATTTTTTGTCCCACAGCATTTTAGGGTTGTGCATTTTTAATTTCAGATCATAGATTTGGCATAATCATATGATTAAACATAAATTCATGACCATTCTATATTATATATAGAGATAAAATATATTTACAGAAAAAATTATATGGCCCCAGCTTTTCTGTGCAAGCCCTAGAGCATTTTTCCCATCAGTACCTAATCCTTCTGGATGATCAGCAGCAGAGACATTGTGAAACTCTTTCCCTTTAAGTGTTTTCTATTCTCTACATTGTTTCATCCCCCTCTGCCCCAAATCTTACAGATCCGCATCAATATTCATCTGTATTTATTGATACAGGCTCTGCTAAGTGTTTCCATTTAATTAATTGGTTCAGTTTGTTTCAACACTGATTGACTCAAGTCCCATTTTTCATTAATCTTCCCTGCTGACCATGACAAAGCTTGCATAAATTTGTACCACTCACACAAGTGGCAGATCATTTTTCAACTTCATTTCATGTTATGCTGTGCAGAAGCAGCTTCTCTTTCCCTTGGCCAAGGGCAGTGCTTGTTATACAACTAAACAGCATCTAAGAACCAAGCATCAGCTTCTGGTTTTGTTAGAACAGCTATCCTCCAAAACAACGTGATACGAAGTCTGAACTTTGCTGTAAATTGGAAAATAGGAAAAAAAAAAAAAAAAAGGAAAAATTGCAGAAGTGTGCTTCTCTCATGTATAAATTTCTTTACTAATAAATAGAGATTAAAAAATATTTCTCCTATTTTAGCTTTATTTTTTTCCTATTTTAGTTTTATTTTTTAGTATTCAGGAATACTAAACTAAATATATAGAAGGTTTATAGACATTTGTCATCCAGATTAAAAACAGGAAGTGAGCTGCTCAAAGCCACACAATACATAATTCCAAAATGAGTTCTGAGAAAGCTGACTGTTGGCCAAATTTACCTGATAAACACAATTTTACAAAGCCATCACCAAATGTTGTTTTGATGCCTGCAGAACTGAGTAGTATCAGCCATTATCACACTTTTTCTTATGGTCCATTCAGGGGAAATTGTTTCCTCTCCTCCCTTCTATCTCCTGGAATCCAAAGAAGAACAGACAGAGTATATTCTCATGCACATGGCAGAGAGATGTTCAGTGGTAAAGGGTGTCTTGGGATAAAGGAACTGTGAAATTCCATAAATTAGTTTTTGCAAAAAAATGTAGAGATGTTCTAGAACAACAAAAGATACTCTCGCACATTAGCTTCATCTTAATACCGTTATTTCTAACCATATGGATATATGGTTAGAAAGACAATCAGAGCTCTGATCTGTCATTAGTTATTTAGTAGAGACCTAGTCCTAGCTGTACCTATGATATTTCTTCTTTAATAGTGAATAGGACAAGAATAAACACTCTATGCCCACTAAATTAAGTATTAGCTATCAAATTTCACTTTCTCCTTGGGAACCTTCACTCTCCTCACCCCCTGCAACACTCTAGATAGTTCTGGAGTTTCTGGAGTTAGTATCCTTTTGGGAAACTGTTATTATTAGCTTATAGAGAGGCTGAAGCAATCGTACTGCTCAGGCTGACATTTCAGTGCATCCCTATTTTCATCCCTATTTTATTACAAAATATATGCATATATTTTCCTGACATAAAAAAAAAAAAAAAAAAAAAAAAAAAGGAAAAACAAATAGTTTTCTGTAGCATAGGAGAAGTTTATCAGTTATTCAGACTGTTTATCTGAGATGACGATGAAAACTAATCAAGTGGTTGGAAATGATACGCTGTTAAAACTTTTATAATTTGATTTTGTTCCATTTTTACTTTTGGAAAAAATATTGGGTTGGGCAGCTTCCAGAAAAAGTTGAAGAGTGAAATTTGAACACATCAGTGAACCTATAAGCACCTGAGAACAAAATTAGAATGATAAGTGTTTTACAAACTTAACTGGAGTAGGCATTACACACATCACTGCAATTTGGAAATACATTATTTCTAGAGTAGGTAATCGAAGAAATCGTGTCAAATTTCACAATGCTAGTAGCAATTATATTTGCCAAGACTATCCCTTGTTACTTACCCTGTTCAGACAGCGACACTTCCTTCCTTCAGACAACTCCAGGCACATCAGGAGGATTGAGAGTTGTTCATGTGCCAGCATTATTGCCAGCTGGACTGAAACCTGAATGTTCATGGGCTGAATTTACAGAGGAAAAAATGGCCCAGGAAGATTCTTGAGGGAGGCTGCATCTGATGGGCAGCGCTCTGCCTGAAGAGAGAGAAAGACAGAGATAAAGAGAGAAAGTGTGGGAAGGGAAGGGAAGGGAAGGGAAGGGAAGGGAAGGGAAGGGAAGGGAAGGGAAGGGAAGGGAAGGGAAGGGAAGGGAAGGAGGAAGGGAAGGGAAGGGAAGGGAAGGGAAGGGAAGGGAAGGGAAGGGAAGGGAAGGGAAGGGAAGGGAAGGGAAGGGAAGGGAAGGGAAGGGAAGGGAAGGGAAGGGAAGGGAAGGGAAGGGAAGGGAAGGGAAGGGAGAAATCTAGTCTACATTACGTGCTCTCAATAACATTGTTTTGCTCCCTTAATACTAAATTGGCAGCAACAAGTTTTGGGAAGCCCGATTATTTCTGGGTCATTCATTTTACGGAAATATTTCAGGAGTAAGGCTGTGAATGTAAATTAAATGAAGCTTTTTCTGTACAGTCTTGTTCGGTGCCCTAGGAAATAAAGAATGTGTTTGATTTCAGAAGATAAACATTTTCCTTTTCCCTTTTTCCACATCAGGTAGAGTTTAAAAGTTAATCCTCAAGCTTTTTACTAAATGTTACCTTGTCTACACCGATCAAGTGTTTCTCCACCCTCACTGATACAACCCTTTTATTAAAGACTGGATGCTTTTCTTCTCTTTACTGGTTAGATAGTATCTCCATAATCCCTAATACTCTGTGTTGTACACAGTCCTGCTGATGGTAGCAGAGCTGACTGATTCTGCGCATCCCATGCCTTTTGATCACACAACACAGGAACTTCAAATGTGATGCCAGGAGAAAGGGAGGGAGACACAGTCCAAATGAAAATTAATTTATCCTGCCCAAACCCAGTCTTTCCCTGAGGCAGAGCAGCAGCATAATACAGAGACAAGCTCGCTCTGTTTCCCAGAACCACACAAAGCACAAACAGAACAAGCCCTGTTAAGTCATACAGTCGTCTGACTTATCACTGGTGAGTTGTCCTCTGCAGTACATTGTACACTCCAGTTTTAACTGACACAACCACTGAAGAAATCATTTCCCTTAGGATTTTTTTCTACAGTCTACCAGATCTCATTCCGAGGAAATAAAGGGATAATGACTGCAAAAGCTTGCCATCTGTCAGATTTTAAAAGTCATATATAAGGATTACATAAAAACCTACATTGAAAGGTCATGGAGTATAACACTCCAAAGTTCAGAAATCAGGAAATTAACTCTAGAGTACTCAACCTTATGTACATCTACATGATGGTATATTCTCCAGTTAAACAACTACGTACTACTGGTTTTCCCTACCTGACCCTGTCTCATTCAGACTGAGCAGTACTCACTTAATGAGCTGACCATGGCTGTTTTGCCTTCTCCTCATTTTCCAGGATTTAGCTTCAGGCACAACAAAACAACTCAAGATTATTCTCCTTCAGGTTTTCCTCTGGTGCTCTTCACAGTACCATTTGGCTATTTTACACGCACTGTGCTCAGGGCACCCTTGGGAGCTGACAGGAGTAGTGTTAATTCCATCTGACAGCTGGAGAGTCCAGGCGTGGAGCCTTCCCAGCATTTGGGTGCTCAGTCTGAACCCCAAGAGCACTAAATGTACAACGTATGCAGAGTTATGCACTACTTTATCCACCCAAAGTGCAGCTGTTACGGCATCAATTACAGTGAAGTGTGTGTAGCACTCCAGCAAATCAAAGCACATATCCCATGTCAAGCTCCAGAAGCCAAGGCATGTAAGCAGTGAGAGCAAGTACAAAGCTCTGGTTTAAACCTGGATAAACCAACACCCCAGACTCCACAGACTGGCCTCAGTCCATTTACAGGCTTCCACAGCCTCAAGCTACCTGTACAACATCTAAGAGCAAGATTCACAATCTTGCTCATTCACAAACTCTCCAGTGGAACCTTTTTTGACATTGCATGAAATAAATGCGTATTCACTGAATGAGAGAAACAGAAAAAGCTTCCAACTTAACAGATGGGCATTCATGGACACACACTTGTGGATAATAGGTGCAAAATCAAGGGAGCTGATTTCTGATCCTACTTCAGATGAATGGCTTAACTATTTTAGTCAAAATGTAGCAAATTCAGGAGAAATCAGTTAGCTATTTCAGCCAAATAATGCTCTTCATTAAAGTATATGCTCTTCATATGTTGACTGGTTAGATAATTTAAGCCAAGTTTCCCATACACAAGTGCATGTTTTAGACACTGGAATTATGGAAAAATACTGGTGGGAAAGTTTTTGGCAGTGGTGCTTTGCATTGTGCAAGACTCAATCTGGTAGGTAGGCTTTGAAATAGGTACCTAATCAAAAAAGACAGGGAAGAGAATGGCAATTTGTGAATCTCCACAAGACTTAGTTTTAAGACAGATAGGTGTTTATTCAGCACTGTTAAGACTTAGGGGACTTAGCAAGAGTAGGGAAATTACTGGCACATGTGTAGATTTCTGGGAACTGGTGGTGAGGTCACCCCCGAAGAATGTGGGAAAGAGGCAAGTTCAACATGATATTTGGGTTGACATTAGCCTGTCTCACAGCCTTTAGACCTATGGCACTGTACTAACTTTATGGTTTATTTTATGCATTAAGGTTCTTTTTGTGTGTGTATGTTTGTGTTGCTTCCCAATTTCTTGGAATCACATTTTCAAACAATCCCAGCTGTTTAGGTGAGAGGTTTTATCCAGCCAAACTTTTGGCTTCTGGTGTAGTTATGACCATTTTTGCCTGAGAAGTGGGACCATCCATATCAGACAGCAAAATCACTGTGTGTCAGCCATGTACCAGTGTGGAACACCACATGTTTATTTATGTTGATGGTAGTGGTAAAATATCCACATTAACTTGATCCTAGTGCGTATTTGGTGCTGGTGGTCTTAGCATGACTTAGGCCCTTCCCAGGCCTCTGACAAGGAGACCATGCTGCCATATCCTTAGTATTACCTAGCCCAAATAGAGTAAACTGGCATAAGTAGAATATGCTGGAAGCAAATGTACACCCAGCCATCGTTGGAAGAAGTAGTATAGAAGGCCAAGAATATCCTGGGGTGTTATAGGAAGAACATTGACAGCAGTGCTAGAGAAGTGAAGAGAAGTCCTCCCAGTCCACTCAGCCCTGGTGAGGCCTCACCTGGAGTACTGTGTCCAGTTCTGGGCTCCCCAGTACAAGAAGGAAATGGAGCTCCTGGAGTGCATCCAGCAGAGGGCTACAAAGATCATGAGGGGACTCAAGCACCTCTCTTACGAGGTGAGGCTAAGAGAGCTGGGCCTTTCTAGCCTGGAGAAGGGAAAGATCAGGGGGAATCCTCTCAATGTATACAAAAATCTTAAAACAGGTTGTCAAGACAATAGAGGCAGATTCTTTTCCATGGTGCCCAGTGATAGGATGAGAAGCAATGGGCACAAACTGAAACACAGGAAATACCATCTGAATATGAGGAAAAGCTTCTTTACTGTGGGGGTGACAGCACTGGAACAGGTTGCCCAGAGAGGCTGTGAAGTCTCCTTCCCTGGAGATATTCAAAATTCACCTGGATATGATCCTGTGCAACCCACACTAGGAGACCCTACTTGGCAGGAGTTTTGACCAAATGATCTTCAGAGGTTCCTTACAACCATTCTGTGATTCTGTGATCCAGACAGAAACCCTGGAATCTTAGGTCCAGCACCAGACTCTATAGAATGGTGATCTTGAATGTGAACAGACTTTGACAATTTGATCGCCACCAACTCCAAACTTCATTCACTGTGCCCACACTCCTCAAACTGTCCCTGCCCCGGGACTGGCTGCTTCTAAGACACATCTCCTCTCTTTGATAGTCCCAGAAGTGCACAGGCTTCTTATTCCATTAATGACCTCTTGCAAGGCCAACCCTCATCTACTGTTTCTGCACTGCTGCCCTCTACCACATCCTCCTCTCCCAATCTTGTTATCTTTTTGTGGCTCAGTGACATTTTCATTCTCCTCCACCCCATATTTCCAGTTGTCTTCTGAACTTTGTGTCTGTTCCAGTTATCTCCTTCAACCTCAGTCTTGCTTCCTGGGCAGCTGTTGCTGTTGCTTTTTTTTTTTTTTTCCAGACTTATTTCTTCTTCTTCTCCACCCCTCCTTTTTTTTTTTTTTTTTTTTTTTTTTTTTTTTTTTTTCTCCCCAGTTTCACCAGATAATAAACCACTCCCCAAGCTCATTGGCAGACCAAGTACACTGACTGCTCTCTGTTGTTCCTGGTTTTGCTCAAAGACACTTCAGTGTCTCTGACAGGGGCTCCTTGCTAAACTCTCCCAATTTTGCTCCCCACTATGACTTACAACCCTAGCTCCCCACTTTGTTTGCCAATCACCTTTCCAGCGTGTTTGTCGCAGATCTGCCTTGGCCCCTGTGCATTTGAGCTGGGTAGCTTAGTCCTGCAAACAGCCAGGCTGAGTGGCAGGAAGAGAACTGGAGAAACACAAAAACCATCCAGTGTGGGTGTGTGGACCGTGCACAATCACAGCAGCCCAGAGCTGCAATGGCAGGAATAAATTCTGCTCAGCTCCAAATTCAGAGAAAATGACACTTTCAGGGCAATTATATGCTGAAATTTCTAGGCATGTGTGAATTATATACATTGACTTATGAAGTATGTGTGGGTTTTCATATAGAAAGAAGTTGCTCCTCACTAAATGTCAAATCCAACTCCAAGCCAGGAACTGCTGGGATTTCTAAGGAAAAAGACAGTTCTGATAATGTATATTCACTTCAAACTTCATCTGTACTTCTCTATTTTGAAAAAAAAAGAGGTTATTGGCTTATAAGAATCTTAAACATTCCTCTCAGCATTCTGCTAAGTACACATGCACACACACACACACACACACACACACACACAAAAGGTAAAGGAAAAAGCATACAAGTATGTGTTAATGTCTCCCACAGAGAACAATCATCTGAAGATTGAAACTTGATGACCAAACCAGAGAACTAGATATAAGCAGAAACCTCCCCTAATGCCTATTGGAGTAGCCTCTTATGTTTTAAATGGACCAGCCCGTGATATGGAAGTGTGATGAATGCTCAAACAATGAAAAACAATCCAACATATAAACACTGGAAAAGTAAACATCAAATCAATCTTGTCCTTGACTTGTTTTACACCATTCATGTAAATTCAGCACAAAAATAACTGCAGATCCTAATACTCTACTTGAATAGACTAAACTGCATGCAGATGGCAATATAGATAACAATATGTATAGTCTTACATCCACAGACATATTTATCTAACATTCTACCTCTTTAACAGATAAGCTAGACTATTAAAAATAAATTAAAAAAAACCACCAACAACAAAAAACAAGAATTCTGCTTGTTTCCCTTGCAAATATTTTCTCACAAGTTTTAATTAAATATAACAAGAAAAATAGCAATTTGGTTAAATAACATGCTGTGAAAATAAAACTACCCAGTAGTCAAAGATAAATAATAATGTAAGACCTAAAATGCTAATGACATACTATGAGTGTAATGATCAGCTGATTAGCCATTTAATTTCTCATTTGAAATCAAATTTACATATGTAACTTATCAATTCAGATGTGACAGTAACATTAAAATTAAATATGTGGTTTGGTATTTCAGTAAATGACAGACATTGGTTAAATAGCAATAATACTAGCCTTTGGGACAAACATCGAGAGCACATTGACTAATTCAGTTCATTTTCAAATGAACAAAGCCTGTCTCTAAATGCCCTGCTTTTCTACAAATATGCCTGGAAGGACTTGCTGCTAACTCTGGAGACTGAAAGATGGTGGCTACAAAAATGACCCCCATTTATTATGTCAAAAAACAACCTCTGAAGCAGAAAAGTAGAGTCCAGACATCCCAGCATCTCCTATGACTGGATAGACACTTCAGATGTGGTCAATAAAGAGCTGCCCAAAGGGCAAGGTAGACCTGAATGCCTCAGTCTTTTTTAGCAACAAATCATACGATTACACTCTTAAGAAGGAAATATGAGATTTTAAAGGCTTATTTATTTTATTTTATTTTATTTATTTTTTAATGAGAAACAACCCATTCTCCCTGAAAGTTAATGGCTTAAGCAATGTTCAGTTCATTATTTTTTCAGAAAAAAAATGCCCACGATGGATCACACATCCATGAAACTTGGGTTAATGTCTGCTTTGCTGCTTATCCTGTAATTTGATTTCAGGGACTTCAAGAGCAAAATTTTGGGAGAAAAATGAAGATATCTCTTCTGATGCATTTTTCAGTACTGCTAATTAATGCATTGTTGATTAGAACCATGTGTCTGAGATAACTGTACTTTACGACAACTTTTCCATTATAAATTCCTATTTATAAATCTGGAAACATAGACACATTGCCATCTATCGTGGATGGATTAGCACTCTGCTTTTTTAATCTGGTTAAGAAATAGTAAGGAAAATTAAAACCTTTTTTATTCATAGAATCATAGAATATCCTGAGTTGGAAGGGACCCTTAAGGATCATCAAGTCCAACTCTTGACACCACACAGGTCTACCCAAAAGTTCAGACTTACTATTTTTACACAAAAAAAAAAAAAAAAAGG